TAAAAAAGTGTTTTTTTATGAAAAATTTCAAAAAAACAACATCAGATTCGAAGTCTCCGCATCGAAATACATCTGGAAATGTCTTTTCGGAAAAATCGATTTTCAATGTTTTTTTGACCCTGCGGACATACAAGCAAGCAAGCAATTTATGTTTCTAAGACTCTTCTCTACGAGAAAGAGAATAAAAACTTCAGAATTATCCGACAAAAATGATTATTTTATTGGTCAAACAGACAAGAAGAAAATTCTCAAATCAACAGAGAACAACTGATTAATCAATATCAATAGCGAGACCGATCACTTGTTAACCACCGTTACCTATTGAATGTCGTTCTCTTGGTCTCTAGCTTCCAATTTTCGTTTTTTCAAAAATTTGTCGTCGTTTTCAGTAGTAGTGGCCGTGGTTAGATTTAAACTATTCTGTACATCAGTAAACCAATACGACGAGTTTTCTGGGAGATGAACTAAACTTGCAATAATTTCATATTTCATATTTGGTAAAGCGATGCAATAAAAGTTGGCTAGAACAAAAATTGGATATAATGGTGAATCAAGACATTTTTCTCTTACCAAGAGCAATGGCATCAGCTTTACGGAATGTGTTACCGTTGATATCTGGAATCGGAAGCACATCGTCTTCGTATCAAAGATGGCAGTTATGCACACTTTCCGAGAGAGAGTTTGATAGATATTGATGAACGCTTTCTACATAAAGAGGAAAGAGATTGGTTCCAGTTTCAAAGAAAGCTCGAATGGGAAAAACACGTGTTTGTCAAACCATTCTTTCTTTTTTTTTCTACACTCACCTCGATATTTTCATTTGTGTCAGTGAGCAAGCCGAACTTGGTACTCATGAGTGTGGTCACCATAGTTGTTGATTCCGATCGTGACCACATACGTTTGAGTAAATCGTTGATGGGAATAAAATTCTTCTTCCCTCGTTGACGATTCCATTTCAAAACGAGTCCGGCATCTTCATGTTCCTCGTTGCTAAGTGTTCCCCAGAATTTCCTCTTTTGAGCATCCTCGATTAGATTGGAGGTTGTCCAACCATGATTCTAGAACAGAGAATTTCAATTGCAATCACATAATGGTTGATGACTCACGGGGTAATGTTTCTCTCGTCGAAAACGTTCCATCAATAGCTCAATGTTTGTACAGATTGCTTGGAACTGGCCATGTGTGATCATTTCGATGATCGTTCTTGCGATCAAATGACATGAAGATTTAAGTGAAATATTGAGGCATCTGATCACAGCACCCGCCGACTCTTTCATTGTATTCAATTGGTGAGCTAAATCGAACCGTTGCTTCGTCAATTCCAATAGTTCATCGACTCTTCGATAGCAATTTTTCATGAAGACTTCGAACTTCATTGTCACAAGAAAGACAAAGATTTAAAGCTTCTGCTTCCAGTTGTATCAAAATCATCGTGTTGTCAACAGTTGACGGGCTGGCATTGGACAGATCATTTATTTTCTGCCGAAAATTGGCAAATGCTTGCATTTCTTCGATTCGAATTTTGTCGTAATAGCAATTATCAAATCTGAAATGTACTTCATTTTCATTCATTGTGTTGCCTTTGTGTCGATGATGATATATGTTGCAGCCTGTAGAAAACAAGCAACGCTCATCCTTTGGATTCGCTGACCCTTTTCTGAAAGACTTTTCCGAATGCTGAACACATTCAGAGACTTTGAAAGAGAAAAGCGCACTGCGATTGCTACTAGTACTCAACTGAATCATAGCACTATGTCACACACTAGAGTGAATAGGATGCAGAGGCCTTTTTAGAAAGCAGACCGATTAGCCATTTGTCAGCGAATAATTCTCCAGCACTAACTATATTGAGTGAAAAATTCATCGCTCAACGGCTAGCCAGACGGCCACTCATGGCCAACCATTGACCTGTGTCATCTATTTTTCTGCTTTCACATCATGCGCATGGAAATTTTCATAAATGCTTTACTAAGTCACTCATAGACGGACGATACACAGCAGACTACTTGAAAAGTTTGAACATTCGCCTGTGTCTCCCAGCGATAATCCGATTCTTTTCTCTCCTGTCAACAAAACGATACCTTCTCGAATGCTCTCATTAAGGAATATCCATTCGTCAAATCCCTTTCAAAATTATCTGAAGCCTGGCAAGGTTATTCTAAGCGTACACTTTAGGATTAATCTAGCATTTAAACGCCTAGTCGTTCATCAACCTCCCTCCGGTCTGTCACTCACGGCTAGCCGTTGCCATGCTGTATCTCTTATTCCTTTCGCCTTCGATCGACTTTCAAACTGAACGATTGGCTTTTCTCTCATTGTCGCTTCTACAGTCATGATCTTCTATTCATTCGACTATCAAAAGAAACTAGATAATAAAGTCTTATTATATGATTTGCTTCGAAACGAACATCTTTCATAGTGCTGCAGGTGTTCAGAATACTGCTTCTACAGTCCACGCGTCTGTAGTTACTAAGATGGAATTCCACTGACGGGTATATCACTTTGTGAACTATTTCTACTAAATTCCCATAAAAAGGCATGATGTATGTAGCCTACAAAGCAAACATGATACGAACCTCATATCGCTTTTTCGGATTTTTCAATTAGAAACGTCATTATGTACAATGCATGAGATCTTTTCGTGTAGGTTCTTGAGCTAGTATCTTTGTACACATGACGTCCGTGAATAGCGTTCAGTTCACCATCTTCTACAAAAGATTTTAGAACAGATAAAGAAAAATATCTCCTTTGTAAAGAGGAAGGAACAAGCCCAGGCTCAGCGAATAAAACGAAATTCATCCTCAAATTCAAATTTCTCAAGGTCAGAAATCCTTCGGTCTACTCTGACAGTAAATGTTAATAAGTCGTGGCTAGTTAATGAAAAACTAATAATTAATTAATCAAAACTAACGTCAAATTCGTGATCCTCGACCTCGATTACCCTTCGGTCAACCCTTACCCTGTATATTAATAATCTATGTCTGGTTGACAGATAGTTAATTAATAGTTAATAATTAGTTAAAAATAACCTCAGATTCAAGTTCCCCGACCTCGATTACCCTACCGGTAATCATTTTCTAGCAACTATCGATCAATTTCATTGATTTTAGAAATGCTGATTTCTGATTGGATAGGGCAGACAGAATGACAGACAAACTTTAAGCTTTTTAACACAGCATTTAAACGCTGTATAACCCTTTCTTTCAGAAAAGGGAAAAAGGATCGTAGATGCCGCTATCAATCGCTTGAGTTGCTGGATTTTGTTCAATGGTGGAGGAAAGTATGTATACCAAAACAAGTGCAATGAATTACGGTTTCCCTATCCGAAACTCTAACTGATGTTAAAAATGATTCGAAAAATAGCATATCTCCGTGTAGAAGATGAGAGATTGCATCTGATGTAAAATCCCATTGGTTGAGACGTGATTTTTCGAATCTGACTGGCATAATATAATCGGGATTGAAATGACAAGTGTGTGCATCATGGATTCGAACCGATTGATTTCGAGAAGATTTTGTTTGCTCATGTCCCACTTTTCTTTGAGAGAGATTGCATAATTACTCATGTCGATTCTCTGATTTTGTGGGCTGTGTTAGAGAAATAGATTCGATCAGAGAAAAACTCGTAAATAAAAGCATGCTGGACGAGTTTGTTTGTTCGGTTTGAGTTATTCTTGGAACCAGTGTGTATCTTGTTCGATGACAATGGTCTAATCTCGATTCTCGAAAAAGCGCCGTTAACATCGACTGAATGCTCATCAGGTATCTGTATCATTAGATATTCGCCCGACTTCTTTGATTCTCGTTATATTCATATAAGATCGTTTTGTCAATATCCACTTTTACCGATGTTCTCAGAAAATCATGCGTGGTTGATAGATTCTGAATATGTTCAGTAGTTGCAATTTCAATACCTGAGTAACACTGTTGATCGACAAACACATTCGATACTAATTGTCGGAACGCATTCATTTTCGCGCAATGACTGATATTTAGAAGGCGATGTCCGTAGATCACTCGGGCTATTTTCGAGATAAAGTATTGTCTATCTCAACGAATATGATATTGATTGCGCGATCAAGACAGTTTCTGCTTTGACAAGGCGAACATATTGGAGATTATTCCGACTAGTCAACGATTTCTTCTCAACACTCGATCGAAAATTCTCTTGATGATATACTCGATTCGATATTGATCTAACACATTCAGGAGTGATCAATGGCAAGTATGACATCATTAATTGATATGTTCGACGATTGACTGACTCTAGTTCGTGACAAATATGTCAATTGATTATTGATAGGTTTCATCAACGGAGAAACAGATGATTTGTGATTTAAAAAGTGATTTATTGATTTGACAAATCACTTCTAAATTTTCATTTTTTCAAGGATCGGAAAGTTTTCTTTGCCTATTCTAACTTACTTCGGTGGCTATCAAATATCTTTCGCCAAAAATTATTGAAAAGCAGAAATACTCGTCACGATGTAGCGCAGAGATATTCATAGATTCAATCTGAAACTGGCAGGTTACAAAGAAAACGCACATGTACCTCCCATCGGAACGTGTAGATTTATGATAAAACGTATTTATCTGCACTTACGTGAGCTCGTTCCTACAATTGTGATGGTTTGGTTCGTATATCTGTCCAGCAGTATCGAACAGTAGAGAGCGTTGCGAATGTCGATGAAAAGACCATAGCAGCCCTGTGACAACTGTGCCACAAACTGACTGCTGACTGAGGTTGACGTGAACTTCTCGATTCGACCCGTTCCGGTGCCGCTCCCAAAGTAGATGTCTCCGTTCGACCAAATGAGAATCTGGCTGGTTGAATGATCAGACACATAGATCGTATCATTTGAGTGAATGAAAATGCGAAGAGCTCCGCCAACAACCACAGTTTTGTCAGCGAAAGTAGTTGCACATTGGTCCTATGTCGAATTTGATGAGAGGTTTGGCTGATTGTGTGAAACTAAAAAGAGGAGAAATCATCTTCGAAACTCGCCTTTCGATGAATATCAAATGAACGAAGCACTCACTGGAATAGTGAGAAGTTGAAACTTCTGCACTCGATGATTATGTCAATCTGCAACATAAGCAGTTTAAACGATAAAGCAGCACTTTGTGAATACTTCTATCGCTTTGTACTATGCGATAACATCTTCTGTTGTCAAAGATCATGAGCGAACGCTGAAAGAATATTTTGCTTACATCATCATCAGTACTGAAATCACATTTTACTACGCGGTACGTTTACAGAGATCTTTTCCTATATTATGGAATTTTGTATCTATTTTTAGTCAAGTTTCTATGTATTCCTGTTCTCATCGAGTCGTTTCCGATGAAACGTCACACAACGATTATTTGAAAGACGGCCCAGAAACAAGATTCATCCGAAGATCTCCAAATCGATGACATGATTCTTCTGGTTTTTTCAATGAATGATTGAAGTTCTTAATATGGAAAAAATCTTTATAAATTTGCCTAATACCCCAGTTCTCACGCTTTATGCATCGAACTATGTGAGAATTAAATCATTATTAGGAGTGGCTTGTAAAACAATGGCAAATATGGTTAGAGGCAAATCATATCAAGCCGTAAGGGAAATGTTTCACATTTCATATGAACCACTGGCATGGGTATAAATGTCATTGACAAATGGATTGATCGACACAACTGTTTCTAATGACACTGAGGTTACAAATGAAAATATCTTAACAATATTGAGGGGAAAAGAAAGAACTTCGGGATATGTGGAATTTTCAAATCCTGATTTTAAAATTTACTTCAAGTAGATTATAAAAACAAATAGTAAAATTGCACTAGTAGGATCAATATTAAGATTGTTTCTACTTTTATGTATTACCAGTAATGATATAAGCTAATGTCTTGATCGGCGGTGACTTGAACGTGTACACACCTTTACAATAAAAATCATCAGGAGTTCTATTATGTTTCTCAAACTGACGCGTAGTCAAAAAGTTCTCGGAAAAAATCTTTGTTAAAGAGTGATGAAATAATCTTTGATGATCACTAAAAATCTATGTCAGAAAAAAACGTCTCTGTTAGGTGAAAACATGATAAAGAAGAACGAACTTATTACTGATAACATGCAAAAAGATCGTGTATATTCAGTATGTAGACTCATTTCAAGATTAATGTAGCGTTTGAGAAAAGTAAATATTTATTTCAAAAATATCTATTTCACTGTAAACAATGAAATTATTTCCATTCTAAATAAACTTTGTCCATCATACGTTTTATCGTAAAATCAACCAGTAAACTTTCATCTTGAATCATTTGTTTTAATTTGAGTATCATTTTATCATCGATTAACGGTAATCGAATACATAATAATCGAAGATTTGAAAATTTTGATCGATTCTTAATTTGTATTAATAACAATCGTAGAAATAATTTAATCTTCATTTTCTTAGGTAAATTATTGATTTCAAGTTGTTTAATCAATGGACAAATTGTGAGAAAAAAGTAAACATGTTGAATTTGACGTATTTTTCCAAGATAAAGTTTTGTAATACGTATTTGATTCGTTAAACAAAACATTTGTATAAATTCATCTTGTGTTACTTTTCTTGGATCAGAAAATGAAATTGTAGAAAGTTTTAATGCATCAAGTTCAGGTAATAATTCTAAAATTTCAATTAATTTAACAACAAATATTGCTGGACGAATATGAAGTTGATCAATTTTCATGGCAGAATGAATATGTTTGATATAATCATGAATAGTTAATGTTGAATACCACATTTCTGGAGATACAATATCTAAAATAACTTGTCGAGATTTTGATAAATCTATTTCCTTCTGTTCATTGTATTCAAACCATCGTTTTCTAAACAAAGAATTTCCAATAGAAAACTTTTCTTTTCTTTTCTTTTCTTTTCATCATACTTATATGGATGAATAAGATAAGTTATTTCGTCACATTCAACTTCAATTTCTAATATCCATTGTCGTTGAAGCCAAAATGAATGAAAAAATCCATTGAGTTCATCTGAGTTTGGTGATAAATGACGAATTTTGTGAGAATTCGTTATATATGTCATAGAAAATTCTT